TCTCTGTGTGTATATCTCTGTGCATATAAACGTGTCTGTGTATGTGTGTGTGTTGTGGAAATGAGAACTGAGGAATTCTAGGCAAGTGTTTGTTTTACCAGTGAGTTATATTGCTAGCTGTCTTTCCATTTTTTAAGATATGGTCTCGTTAAGTTGCCCAAATTGGCTAAAGTTCAGGCATCCCTTGAACAAAACTGTGATCTTCCTACCCCAGCCTCTCAAGTGGCTGTGATGAAAGGTCTGTGCCACCGGGGCCAACACCAGGCTTTGTCTGTCTTATGTCTGTTCTTGGCTTGAGAGAGCTTAGATGGCTCCACAGTCCTCTGACGACAGTATTGTCTGACTGACCTCTCCCTCAAACTCCAGGCCACATGGCCAGATTAAAAAGAAATGTCCCCGTGTCTTTTCTGTGGTCAGGATGCATCTGCCAGGTGTTTCAGTGGCCCAGGTGTCATGGTGCCACATGTCAGCATGCACGGGTGGTGGGGGTCTGGGCCTCCAACCCTCTCCTCTTCCTGCTAGTGCTTGTGAGTTCTGTCTCCGGAAATTGCAAACCTCACTGGATGCGGTCCAAACACAGGAAATTCCATTGTTCTGGCTGAGGCCCCAGCATCTGGGGGCCGGGCCCAGGCTGGACATAGGCAACTGGGTCCTGGCTTTCTCCCAGGGGCTGAAGGGAAAGCCACTCAGGAGCCTCAGCCCAACCACCTCCCTTCCTAGGGGGACAGCCCCTGGAGGACTCCTGACCTCAACCCCAAGGTCCTTTGTTTCAGTTGTTTCTGCCTGGTGTGCCCAGTAGCTCAGCCTTCAGTGTTAGCTCCATACCAACTATTTTTTTTTTATTCTTTCCAAAACAGGGTTTCTCTGTCCTGGAACCAACTATGTAGACCAGGCTGGCCTTGAACTCAGAGATCTGCCTACCTCTGCCTCCTAAGTGCTGGGATTAAAGGCATGTGCCACCGTGCCCTGATCACATAGACTTTCTTATTCCTGCCTTTAAAAAAAAAATTGTATGTAGTCGGGTGGTGGTAGCGCACGCCTTTAATTCCAGCACTCGGGAGGCAGAGGCAGGCGGATCTCTGTGAGTTCGAGACCAGCCTGGTCTACAAGAGCTAGTTCCAGGACAGGCTCCAAAACTACAGAGAAACCCTGTCTCAAAAAAAACAACAACAAAAAAAATTGTATGTATAGTATTTGTACATGTGTACATTGGTGTGCAAATACACTCACCCATGGAAATGGCCATGGAGGCCAGAGGCCGACATCATGTCTCTTCCTCTACTATTTTCCACCTTATTTTTGAGATGAAGGGAGGTGTCTCTCACCAAAACTGGAGCTCACCAATTGACTAGACTGGCAGGTTGGCAGGTCCCCAAGAGCCACCCATCTTTGCCTCCTACCTCCAATACCTGGCTTTTACGTTGAGTATTTAATGAATTTGACTTCAGGTCCTCATGCTTGTACAACAAGCACTTTACTCACTGAGCGATCTCCCCAGTCCTTCATCCCCATCTTTGGCTCACAAACCCTACTTTAGTCAAATGAAGGAAGAGAAGGAGGAATGAGGGAGGGAGGAAGGAATCGGTGGTGGCCCGAAGCTGAACCATGGTACTTCCTTGACTAACTGGCAACTTTGAGTTTCCTGGACAATGGTGAGGCCTAGGTCTCAGTCTCTCTTCCTATAGGGTGTGCAAAAGTTCAGCCTCCAGCTACAGTTGTTCTGGAAGAGCAGGAAGAATAACAGCTCTGGCCGGACAGTGCTAGCCAAAGTGGGCAGGGCGGAGGGCCTTCCTTCCTGCCCTGTGCCCATAGTCACCACTTGGCATTCTCTCCTTTAACTCTCTTTCTCCCAGGAGATGGGTTCCTCTCTCCTGCAGCTCTCTGAGCAACATTAGGATGAGGGCTCCGTTCCCCCAAGGGAGGTGCTGGCTGTCCTGGTCCACACTGTGTATTAGGGAACCTTTTCTCTATTTTTTTCTTCAATTTTTTTACTCTGTGCACAGTGCACACATGGAGGTTAGAGGAACAATTTGTGGGGTCTCTCCAGGACCACGTGGAGTCCAGAAATCGAACTCAGGTCATCAAGCTTGGCCGCAAGCACCTTTACCTGTGGAGCCACTTTCTCCTCTGTGCTTTCTCCACTTTAGACAGCTCTTTAACTCTTCCTTCTTTTCCTTCGAGGACTCTCAGGAAAGGAGTTCACAGACCAGACACACCCACCACTAATTAATCAAATTAATACATTTCCTGTCTCCCCTCCCTCTCCGCTGTCCACCCGCGCCCTTTTAGAAAAGGTCTTACAATTTAGCCCAGGCTGACTTCAAATTTGCAATGTTGCCCTGGCTTCAAACTTGTGATCAGCTGGGCAGTGGTGGCGCACACCTTTAATCCCAGCATTTGGGAGGCAGAGGCAGGCGGATCTCTGTGAGTTTAAAGCCAGCCTGGTCTACAGAGTGAGACAGAGAACCCCTGTCTCAAAAAACAAACAAACAAACAAAAAATTTTGCAATCATCTTTCCATGTATGGATATCCACACCTGGCTTTTACACGCATCTTTTGGGGAATGCAATTTGCCCATCCTTATGAGTTATCTTATCTAATGCCAGGCTTTGTGGGCCTTATCAGAAGAAAAATCTCCAGTTTGCTGAAGCTTCTGGAAATGAGGCAAGAAACCCCTAAGTGTCATGCCTACATGTATGAACTCTGTCAGTACCATGCCATCATCACTGTTGTTGGGACCAAGCAAGGATACAGCGGCTCTCTATGGAAGGTGCTGTAACAGGGACCAGAAACTGTCCCAGACCATCACTATCCCTGATATTACTGTTCATCTTTGGAATTTCTGAATCCTGACGGCAAGGGATGGGGTGAGACAGGGCTGGTTTTCACTGTACAGGAGAATCAGGGTGACAGCCTAGCCAGGTCCACTGGTGTGGGCATCTTACCTGCTATCTTAATTAGGGTTTCTATTGCTGCAATGAAACACCATGACCAAAAAGCAAGTTGGGGAGGAAAGGGTTTATTTGGCTTACACTTCAGCATTGCTGTTCACCACTGAAGGAAGTCAGGACAGGAACTCAAACAGGGCAGGATCCCGGAAGCAGGAGCTGATGCAGCTGCTATGGAGGGGAACAGCTTACTGGCTTGCTTCCCATGGCTTGCTCAGTCTGCTTTCTTATAGAACCCAGGACTACCAGTCCAAGGATGGCACCACCCACCATGGGCTGAGCCTTCTCCCCCTGATCACTAAGTGAGAAAATGCCTTACAGCTGGATTTCATGGAGGCATTTCCTCAGCTGAGGCTCCTTTCTTTGATGACTCTAGCTTGTGCCAAGGTGACACACAAAGCCAACTGGTACACCTGCTGTACTGACTCCAGCCAGCATTCATCAGACACCAGGGAGGATTGGCCACTGGGGAGGATAGCTCAGCAGGCCAAGTGGCCTTAGTCTTGGGAAGCTTGGAGACAATTCACTGTGATTTGGTCCTAGAGTCAGAAGACTAAGCCAGATTCCAGGCTTTATGGGCCTTTAGGGATGGAGAACTTCTCTTCTATTGCTCCAGGCTATTTTCCAGCTGTATGGCTTCTCCCAGCCACCCAAAGCACAGAAACCCACAGTTCTGTAAGGACCTCTGCCCTAGTGCAAGAAAGCAGATGCCTCAGGCAGTTGGATAAACTCAAATACAGGTCTGTCAGGAAGCCACTGCCCTGCCGGTCAGGAGGCTACCTGGCATACGGAGGACGTGTGGCCAGTTTCTAAGAAGACAAGGGGTCCTGCAATAAGGTCTCAGGGTTGTGAGGGGACAGCGCCTCAAGGATATGCTGGCCAATCCGGGAGAAGAGCAAGAACATGGAGGGGAGGGCACAGAGACATGCAGCTACTGTGCCCCTATCCCATACCTTTTCTATAGGCTGTGTCCTGACCAGCAGCCTAGTTTCCAAGATGGGGACTGGGAGCCTTCTGTCATAGTCTTTAAAATGATGCAACCCTGTGGAGTGTGGTGGTTCGGGCTTGTTAGCCCACTACCTGGGAGGCAGAAGCAAGAGGATTTTAAGTTTGAGGCTAGCTTGGGCAATTTACTGAGATCCTGCCTCGAATAAAAAAAATCTAACGCCTTTAATCCCAGCACTCGGGAGGCAGAGGCAGGCGGATCTCTGAGTTTGAGGCCAACCTGGTCTACAGAGCTAGTTCCAGGACAGGCTCCAAAGCTACAGAGAAACCCCTCTCTTGAAAAACCTAGAATAAAAAATATATATATCATGGGACGGGGGATGTAGGCCAGTGGTAAAGTGTTTGCCTTGCATGCGTAATGCCCTGGGTTCAATTACAAAAAATAAAGCAGGCCTCCCCACAGAAAGGGCAGGTGGGTATACAAGCCCAATATCGCCTTAAACATGTCTTTGTGGCTTATGCGCCGGGGGCTTTGTTTCGAGCACTAAATTCGTTTTAGTTCCACAACGACTTTTCTCACACGGCTACACTTATGCTGAGAGGCTAAATCATTTGCCCAAGATCACACAGCTAGCTGCAGCTCCCGAAGGCAGAAAAATCATGCCCATCCTATAGACAGGCTACTGAGGCCCTGGCAGACTCATGCGAGGAAACGTGTAACGATCGAACCAGCAATCAAACGCATGGGATGGAGAGCAAGCTACACGTAACATTCGGGTTCCAGGCTCCATGGTCTACAAGGGAAGAAATGGCCGAAGACGCTGAGGGTCCTGGCTAAGCCGAGGGTTGGAGACTAGTAGGTAATAGGCCAATGGCAATGCCGGGGCGGGACAATAGGCTTGCTGAGGGCAGGGCCTATGGGAGATACGCCAATGGCAGCCCAGGGGCAGGGTTTGCGTTTGTACGGGCGGGGCCTGCGGGCTGCCGGCCAATGGCGGCGTGCAGGCGGGGCCTGAGCCCGGGGAGGACGGCTAAGGTGGGGCCTGTGGGCGGCGAGCCTATGGCGGTGTGGGGGTGGGGCCTGAGGGCGAGCGGGCGGGGGCGCGGAGGGGGCCGCGGCAGCGGCGGCGAACAAAGAGGCGGCGGGCGCGGGTGACCGAGAGGAGCCGAGCGGAGCCGAGCCGGGCCGAGCCGGGCCGAGCCGGGCCGGGCCAGGACCCACGATAGCGGGCACAATGCGGGGAGCTGATCAGGCGTCGGCGGGTCCCTGAGCCCAAAGCACCGGGCAGCGAGAGAAGCCCGGCGCAGCGCCCGCGGCCGCCCGCCATGGCCGGGGTCAGCTACACGGCGCCCTGGTGGGTGAACCTTCTGCACCGGCTGCCGCACTTCGACCTGCGGTGGGAGGCCACCAGCAGCCAGTTCCGGCCCGAGGACACGGACTACCAGCAGGTGACGCGCGCCCCTGGGTGCGGGATCAGGAGTCCTGGGTCTTGGCCCCTCCCGAGGGACTGGAGCCTCAGCATCTCTATGTGGGGTCGTGGCCCTTTCCTTCTAGGGGGTCCCCTCTGGTCCTCTCCAGGGGTTAACGTCGCCCCCCCCCTCCGTAGAAGGTGTTCAGTCCCTCCGTGTCACCAGGGCCTCCTATCTGGATTGGTGGAGCCGCCTCCCTCCCCTCATGGACCCCCTTCGGATCCTATGGGTTCCTGCCAGGCTCGTCTCCATCCTTTGGGCGATCAGCTGCTCCCCAGCAGAGAGCCCCCGCTAGCCGAGGCTGGAACCCTGGGTTCAGGCAGAAGGGGATTCCTCGCCTCTTCCCCCAGCTAGGGAATCCCAGTGCCAGGCTGTTGGTGGGTGAGTAACCTGGGCCATGGCCAGCCCTCTGTGGCTGCTAATGACCCCTTGCTTCTTGGTCTGCCTGTGGGATGTACACAGGGTGTCCTGCGGTTGTGGGAAACCAGGGTGCCAGCAGTCTTTCAACCCAGGGTGGGAAATGAGGCCTGGCTTGAAGTGGGGTGAAGTGGGCCTCAGTCTGGGCTGGGGGCCATGGGGCACTTGGCAGCCCTCTCCCTGCAAAGCCCTAAGCCTGGCATCTTGCCAAGTCCCAGCACCACCCCCACTTACTGAACCACTGTCATTTGAGTTCAGAGCAGGGGGACCAGGCTGTGGGCTTTTCCTTCCCGCTCCAGATTCTAGAAACAGAGTAGTCAGCCACTTGGTCCCCCAGCACCTCAGAGGTGTCCCTGGACCACAGCCTGGGAATCGTGCTCCCGGGACTGTGTCACATCTCTCTCTGCAGCCACCCTCATCCTATTGAGAAGTTCAGGGTGAGAGCACAGGGTTGCCCCTGCTCCCACTCCCTGCTCCCACTCGATGCCACCCTGAGCCCAGCTCCAGCTGCTGACGGCATTCCTAAGAGGAGGATGGAAGAGAGGGCTTAGACCAAGCTTGAGCCTGGAGAGGCAGCAAGGGGGAGGGAGATCTGAGCCCACCTGGGGATTTTTGGGGGAAGACAAGCCCTGGGTGGGGGTTGGGGAAACACATGTGCTTCTCTTACTGTGTGACAGTGTTGTCACCCTCCTTCCTGGAAGAACTGTGTGAGCTATTCTTAGAAAGTTGCTTACTTAGGGTTTGCCTGATTGTCATTTCTGATGGTCCACTGACACCTGGGGCTACCTGTGTAGCATTTCCTGTGGTCAGTGGGCTGCCACCTGCTCCTGCTGCAGACTTGAACTTGCTGTTGCTTTGTTGGCACAGTTGTGACGGAGAGGGTGAGGGCTCAGTGCCTGCAGCCCTTGGGAATCTGAAGGTAGTGGCCCAGGCCCTCAGCTCCATGGGTCCTCAGCCCCGTGGCCCTGGCTAAGCCTGGTCCTGCCTGCTTTTGCTCCTCTGCTCTGGGCTCCGCTGTGGGAGGCCTCTGACTCACTCTCCCTCCTGCCTCCTCTCCCAGGAGCAGAATTAGCCACTGAATAATTCACGGTGTGGAACCCAGCCTGGCTCCATCCCCCGCCGCCTCCGCTCCTAAAGTGGGGCTGTGGATATGCATGGGGCCCCTGCCCTCTTTCAGCAGGTGTTTTAGGCAATTGCTCAGCCTCTCAGAGCTTCATCCCGGAATGTAATGGTTGTCCAGGGTCACCTGTCGGGAGGAAGGCAGGAAGGAGCTCCCTTTCTGAGCGGGGAGGGAGGCAGTGGATCCTCACAGGCTCCATCACGTCTTCCCTGGGGAGGTGTTGCAAACTCTGTGGGTGGGGTTGTATATACACGCATGTAGGGGGTGGCCGTCCCGTCCCACTGTGTCTAGTGACCTCTCACCCATCTTGACCTGGAGTACCCTCTCCGCTCTCCACCCTGCCCATACCTGCACTGTGCACCATTAGGGAAGGAAGCTTCTATGTCTCCCAGCATGGGGATGCCAGGCCTGTCCTTTGCTCTCTTCTCCATTCATGGCCCACTGTCTGGAACTTGGTGGAACCCACAATTAGACTCCCAGTCAAGCCCCGTGTGGAGCTGCCTGTACTCGCCTCCTTTCACACGGGGCTGTGTAGCTGTCTGTAGTGTCCAGACTAAGGCTTGGCCTCCTTCAGGGAGCACTGGGGACAGAGTCTTCCCTCGGACCATTTATCCTCCGTCCTGGAGACCCAGCAGGGCTGGACTGGCTGCTCCAAGGGTGCAGAGCTTCAGCATGCTGTGCAGCTTTTACACGGATGACGATACGAGTTCACATCCTGTAGTGGTGAGATCGGGGGTCTCGAAGCGTGACGCGTGCCTTCTTAGAAGCCTGTAATGGTGCCGAGTGGAAGGGCCGCCAGGAGTCAGTCGCTGGTTGAGTTGTATGGATGCCAATGGCATCTTCGTGACAGGAGGGGCTCCTCCAGTCTCGTCTAGTTCTGTGCTGGTTTCTCTCTAGACTGTCCCCAGGAGCTGCTGACTGCTCTCTTCTGGGATGAGGCAAGGGGGCAGGGGAGCTGGGGCATGCTGGGGATGGTACTTAGAATTTAGATAGTCTGTGTGGGTAGGTGCCTTCACCTGCAGGGAGGAACTGAAGTCCTAGCGGCAGACAGCATGGGACCCAGAGACTTTGGACCTGACATGGTCAGCAACCATCTTGTCCTGACTGAAGTCTTGATTTTCATTTGGGCCTGTCCTGGCGGCCTGCAGTCCCTAAGTTTGGGCATCAGGCCCCTCTCCGAGTAGATTATTGACACCTGGGTACAGCCTGCTGACCTCATTCTGGTGTGGGGGGAAATAGCTGTTTTCTTGTCCTCCATCAGCCCTCGTGACCCAGCATGACCCTGCTGCCTCAGGTACAGGGTCAAATTCACGCTCTTTGCTTCCAGTCTTCGCTGTCTTAGTTCGAGGCAGGCTAGGAACTGTTTGCTGACGGAGAACTGTTATGAGTAGGGATGGGATCATGAGCAGGAGCTGGCTGTAAGGCTTGGAGGTCTGGGAGGGCCCCCTGAAGCCGTTATTACCTAGCCTGCCATGGAAACTGCCAGCCAAGGCTTGGAACTCACCAGCTTCTCTCCAGCTCACAGTGCTCCGGCCCAGGCCTGGTATACAGTGGGCCAGCGGCGTGCTGGCCATTCATGTAGTTGGTAGCACTTGGCCTGCTGTTTAGCCGGCGTGTGGGACCATTTTCCATCAGACTTAAAGGAAGTCAGCCATGGTGATACAGACCTTTTAGCCCAGCTGCTCGCCAGGATGAAAGTTCAAGGCTAGCCTGGCTTGCAGAATGAGTTCAAAACCAGCAATGGAGTTGATCTTTTCTCTTAGAAAAGTGGGTGGGAGTAGAGAATGCTCTCAGTGGTAGAGCGCTTGCCTAGCATGCACAGGGCTCTGGGTTTGAGCTATAGCAACATCGACTAAGGGGGGGGGGGGACCCAGGTGGTATAGTTAGGGTTCGAGAAAGGGTCTTAAAGGGTGGGAACAAAGTAGGCAAAGGTGTGAGGCAGAGAAACCAGATATACCCTCTGCCTGCGTGGCACAGGGAAATATGCTGCCTAGGAGTACTGGCCATCCTGTGTCACAGACTACTTTCTAGGCTCCAGCTGAATGTCCCTCAGGACCAGCTCATAAGAGTTGGGCCTCTCAATGTACAAGGTCAGCGGCATGGTTGGCAGCTTGGCTGTGTCCTCTGGGCAGGGCTGGGTTCATTGTCATCCTCCCGACAACTCAGGAAATGAGCTCTGTCTGAAAAAGCAGCCTTATCGCCTGTTTCCAGCTTATACAGGCAGCGCACGTCTGTGGGACACTCGGGTGTGTATGGGGGGGTGACCATGCGAAGACAAAGGAGCCACCCAGCTGGAGTCCGTCCATGCACTTGCATTTTGGGGATGAGGCCACTTGAAACCAGAGTTGTATTGCATACTGCCATGTCACGTTCGTTCATCCTTTCCTTCCTTCCTTTCTTTTCACCCCCCCTCCGCGTGATCGAGCTCAGACTCAGGGCCTCCTGCACGCTAGGCAAGTAGTCTGCCACTGAACCACACCCCAAGCTTTGTCTCCTTTTTTTTTAATTGTTTGCTTTGTTTTTGAATCGTGTATATGTGTGTTGTGTGATGTGTATGCATATGGTATGGATGTGTGCATGTTCAGTGTGTGTGTGCATTCCTTTATGTGATTGCAGGCATGTATGTACCAGGGGAGAGCATATGACGATCAGAGGGACAACCTTAGATGCCAGCCCTTGCCTTGGACCATGTTTGAAGTAGGGTCTCTTGGTAGCCAGCAAGCTTCTGGGGATTCTCCTGTCCTTGCCTCTCATCTCACCATACACAGGAGTGCACACTACCACATTCAGCTTCCTATTGGTTCTGGATATCTGAACTAGAGCCGGCTCACATAAGGGCTGGCCTTGAACCCAGCATGTTAAGGATGACCTGGTCTCCACTGCATCCATACCCCTGGTCTGCGTGGTGCAGTAGATAGAAACCAGGGCTTCATGCCTTCTAGGCAAGGGTTCTCCCAACTGAGCCATGCCTCCAGCCTTTGTTGCCTGCCTGAGCTTAGATACTGCGTGCTTCAGACATGGCCACTCATGTGCTTCTGGGTGCTTCCCCAGCGTTTCATGGTGCTGGCCAGAATTCTGAAGTTGCAAGGGAGAGAAGGAGGCCAAATACAAACCCCTTCTACCACGGCCACCCTTCCTCCCTCCCCCTTCCAGGTTTAGATCTAGATGGAGGCTTCCAGAGCAACCCCTGGGTGGGAGATGATGGTACAAGGATCAAGGGCCCTAGGCTGGGAGAGGCAGGTAAATCCCTGAAAGGCCCAGCTGGCTGTGCATGTTTGTGCATTATGACCAACACTGAGTCCCAGGGAAGAATCATGGACCAAGTCTGAATCAGTACAGCCAGGAGATGCTGAGACTGACTCTGGACCATAACATCCACTCTACTGGGGGTGGGTCCTAGGGCCTCACTGCTTGGACCTGGAAAATGCTATGCCACTGTATT